TTACAATAAAATACCAGAGTCTGTTATAAATCTGCCAGAAAAAAGATTTAAATGTCAAATAAAACAGTTCCTTTGCAAAAAAGCTTACTATAAAATTGAAGAATTCGTTAACGATAATAATGTTTTATAGAAAAATTTTAAATACATAGCACTGACAATATTATCTGATTACACTAATAATGAGTGCGTAGCGATTTCTATGTTGATTGTCGCATGCCTCTTACTTGTTACACTGTAATTATTTATATAAAAAAAACATCTATTAAAAAGAGCAACACACAAGTTTCTTCCTCATTCTTCTTGTGATGAATCTGCATTCCGAATGAGTGGTAGAATCAAAATATAACTATTCAAAAGTGCTTGTAATGAGGTTATTTGAATAAAGATTATTTCTATTTCTATTTCTATTTTGTTATTATACTGGCTTTAACAAAAAAGAAATTAAGTCGTGTTTCCTGCCAGTTCTTCTCAATTAAATCTGTTATTTTTATACATATTACTAGCAGACTCCGCAAACGTTGTCTTGCTATATAAATTAAAATCGCTATTAAAAAGTGGGGTTCATGCTAGAAGGGTACAAATTTAGGGTTGTATGTATTTTTCAATCTTAAATAATAATAAAAAATTATATCGAAAAAATAAAAAAATATATTTAGGGGTGGATATCCCTTACCACTTAGGGGTATGAAAAAAACATAGTAGCCGATTCTCAGACCTAATGAAATTTTATATGGTAACTAATATTGTGACACGAGAATTTTGTATATATTATATTACCTAACCGATGGGCAATATGTACTAGATAAGGTGGCAAACAAGCATATTGTCCATCGGATACAAAGCGCGTTGCAGTCCCTAACTTAAAGATTTTGAAGCGGTTTTAATAGATAGAGTGATTCAAGAGGAAGGTTTATATGTATAATACATGTACACTCGGGCGAAGCCGGGGCTTAGAAGTAGCTAGTTAATTATAAAAAAGTCCATTAAAATTTCTAACAAAAAAAAACCCTATAAAATACATCAAAGTCATACCATTAATTTGCCGGAATCAAACCTGTGTACGAGAGACTGATCATTTCGCGACAAAAGACGCTCCTTGGGGAAGTAAAGCTTTTTGTTCCCATATCATTGTTTATGCGGGCGGCGCGTCAAAGTAAAGTAGAGTAACCATAAACTATATCATTAAAGAGGAAAAAAAAGTAGTATAAATCTTAAGATACATTTACAAGACTTATCTTTTATATATTTTGTATATATATGTGAAGCGGAGGCATCAAATGTGTCTGATGAGTGAGAATACGGAGATAAAATAAAATGCGACTAATATAACAGTGATATATAATAGAAAGTGAACAATAAAGAATATTATTATAAAACAAGCTGTTCCCGCGACTTCGTCCGCGTGGATTTTAACTTTATTTTTCTAAAATAAAAGTTGACTAAGTTACTCCTTATACATCAGCTACCTGCCAGAAAAAAGTTCTGTCAAAATCGATCCAGCCATTTCAGAGATTAGCCGGAACAAACAGATCGACGACAGACAGACAAAAATTATAAAAATTGTTATTTTGGTATATGTACCCTATATATATTAATATGCATGTAGTAAAAAACGGTTATTTGAATATTACAAACAGACACTCCAATTTTATTTATATGTATAGATTTAAAAATGGTATAAAAACCATATCAAGGAGTTCGCTATAATATGCATAAACTCGTACATAGAAATTCAAATTCAAAATATCTCTATTCATGTAGAAATTAAAATTCAAAATATTTCGGAATGATTTCATGTGACAAGAGAGTTTCTATTACAGATTCTCAAATAAATGTTATGATAATACAGATTCATTTTTAAATTCAAATTTGAGACAGCATATATACAATATATATGTATATGTTGTATATATTTACTAGAGCATTTTTATCATCCCATCCCCTCGCCAACTCTCGGACAGGATAGTCTTATGAAGAATTTACCACTCAATAAAAGAATGGTAAACAAGCATGGGACGCCTGATGGTAAATAAATAATTGACGCCGCTCATGAGCACCTGCAGTATTACAGGTAACTTGCCGGCATTTTAGGAAGGAATATACTCTGTTCTTGAAGATTTCATTATTATATCGGTGTATAAATATTACAGTTTTTCAAAAACGCATAATGGAGGACCGTCAATCATCTAGATCTATCTAGATGATAAATATATTATATTAATATGTAGTTACTGTCGAAATATATTAATTTAACATATTTTCATTTTCAATTTATCCTTATTAATAATTTTAGTTGGTTACCCTAGCGCGGCCCCATTGATCTCGCCGGCAAAGACGCACCGCCCTGAAAAAGCTATCCGCCGGAGACTGCTTCCGCATGCACGCACCCTTAATGAACTAAAAATTAAAGGAGCGTTATTATTGTAGGAAAATATAATATTATTAATCATAATATAATTGAATTATAGAATAGAATAGAATAGAAAATAATTTATTCAAATATACTTACATTCAAGCACTTTTGAATAGTTATCACATTTTTTTAATCTACCGCTCATTCGGAAATCTGTCTCATCACAAGAAGAACGAGCAAGAAACTTGCGTGTTGCTCTTTTAAATAATTTTATTCTTACTTTACAATTTAAGTTTAAGTATGTAAATACAAACCGATTAGCACTAATTCAATTAAATAATCAAATCGAAAAAATATTGAATATACAACAACTGGTTAAACAATTAATAAGAGGAAATGAGTCATATTTTTTTTGGTTTTTTCGTGTATTACAATCTGCCATAACTGAACATTAAGTAGTATATTTGTTGGGTTATTGGAATTATAAATAGTATCTACGTAACTGCTATAAAAATAATTATTTAGTGTTCATCCGCTACTTCAACTATCGTGCTGTCCTTTTTATTCTGAATTGTATAAAACTTAAGGCACAGAGACGTGGTCGCTAACTATGGGCCTCATGAACAAGCTCAGAGTCACTCAGAGGGCTATGCTTGGAGTTTCTCTGCGTGATCGAATCAGAAATGAGGCGATCCGCAGAAGAACCAAAGTGACCGACATAGCCCGAAGAATTGCGACACTAAAGTGGCAATGGGCAGGGCACATAGCTCATAGGACAGATATCCTATAGGCAATAAAGTCCTCGATTGGCGACCACGGACCGGAAGACGCAGCGTGGGGAAGCCTCCAGCAAGGTGGACCGACGATCTGGTCGAGATCGCTGGAAGGCATTGGATGCGAGCAGCGCAGGACCGATCGTCGTGGAGATCTTTGGGGGAGTCCTATGTCCAGCAGTGGACGTCTTCCGGGCTGCTATGATGATTATGACTATAAAACTTAAGCGTGGTCTTGACTTTTGACGAAATTTTATCCTATTATATTTTTCTTCCATTGATTACACATATTTCTAACTTATCCGTTTAATTCACTCTTAATTTTATATATTTAAAGTCAATAATATGATGATCAAGAATGCTTTCATTTTTTCAAGTGGCTCCACTGAAAATCAGCGCTGTAGTGACACGCTGCGGCACCAGCTGAGTGGAGGCCCTTTCAGCTCATAGCGAAATATTAGTTTTTAAGATTTCTATATTTTTACTCTGTACTGTGATGCTGAATAAATGATTATTTTTTTTCTCATCATTTGCTGGTTTTCTCCACACTTACGGGTCGAAACCAATTAAGTGGAATGTGTGTGTATGTGCGTGTATGCGCGTGTGTATGTATGTATGTATGTATTATTATTATTATTATTTCTTTATATATACATTATATATCTCCCTTTGATGTGGTAATAGACTTATCATTGCGGGTAAAAATCACCACATGTTATTATTAGTTTCGTTTATATGTATTACAAATATTGGCCTAATCTGTTTGTAGGTATTTTCTGACTATGCGGCATGTATTTAGGATTACAGCCTTCTGTAGTTGGCAGTATATACTAGGAGGCAAGTTCAGGGTATTTCTGGACTGGATCCATCTGTTTGTGGTATGACACCTGTAGTTGAGAGCACGATTGGGAGTATTGTTACTTTTTGTAAGTGACAGAGTCTGGTTATTTCAGTTTGCAGTTCTTTATATTTATTATTTTTTCAGCTATCGTATTTTGCAGGTTGTGTGTGTTAGGGACAGCTATATCAATAATTATAATTATTATAAAACGCCACGATATGTACAAACAGACATACAAACTTATTTTTGAATTTGTATTTGCAGTATAAGGAACCGGAAGTAAGAAGTTAATGGAAGGTACAACAAATATAGCTTATGCCGAGATGATCGTATAAAGAATGAATGTAAAAAGTTACGAGGAATAATAAAGTAGCTATAGAAAAAGTCTGAGTTAAGAATGGCTAATAAATGAATTCATACTTTCATATTTCACTAGTGTTATGACAGTATATACCAACCATTAGAACAGATGAGATTACTACGCTATCATCAGCAAGAAATTATATGTATAAAAATGTAATAAAAAAATAAATACAAAAACAATCAAATCATTTCATTAAAACACGTGTTTACTATTATGTTTATATATTTTTTGTATCTGAAATAAAATAAATACTATGCGTACTGTTTTACATTATATAAGGTACTAGACTTTAGGAGATTATTACATTGTCAGATCGATCAGATCCACATGATTTTGAACTTTTAGACTTTATTTAAATTAACTTAATTTAGGACAGTTTGCGAAAACAATAAAGATTCTAAAAATCACTACAGGACATTTTCCTGATACTCCTTTAAACTGTTTTATATTATTTTTAACTATTTCAGTAATTACTCTTAACAATTATTTGTATATTATGATTTAGTATTTGTAAATTTATATGACATTATATTTTTTTATAATTACATTAAAACTTCATGAACAACCTTCATAGAACTCTCTCTTAGAGATATTGTTGCAAAGTACCATATGCACATTTGCTTTATTCCATAGATTAAATAGCAAGACATTATAAAGATACTGCATTTTTTATTTTAAACCTACTAGTCTCTCAGAGACTTCCCAAAGTTTAAGTGCTGTGTGACTATCCCGGGCTGTAATAGATGGCGTTGCTTGCTTACAGTCCACAAAGTAACCACCAGTTACACCCTCAACCTTCGGAGACACTGCCAAGAAAATAGTCGTTTGGGCACCTTCCCATCCAGACTTCATAAACGGTCGGACCAAATATCTGAACGCGTCTAACTTCATGAATGGATGATTCGTCATTAACTTCGTATAAACAGCACCTGGATGTAAAGAGTTGGCTGTCACACCTGTACCACTTAATCTCTTCGCCAACTCCATACTTAAGAGTAGGCTACACAACTTCGAATTGTTGTACACCAACTGCGCATTATATTCTTCATTGACCATATTCAAATTGTCGAAATTCAATTTTGCCGCTTTGTGTAGAATCGACGACGTGTTTATTATACGACTCGGCGCTGACTTCTTCAACAAAGGCAGCAATAGATACGTTAAGAGGAAGTGTCCGAAATAATTAACTTGCATATCAAGTAGTAATCCATCTTTGGTTATTTTATACGCTTTCGTTGATGTACCGGCATTGTTGATTAGCACATCTAGTTGCGTTTCAGTTTTGAGTATATCTTCACAGAATGCTCTGACTGAACTTAGAGATGATAAATCAACACTTTTATAGTCAACGTTGTGATTTCCAGTTGCTGAAACGATTTTTTCTTTCGCTTCTTTTCCATATTCATCCAATTTACACGCTAGTATCAACCGCGCGCCTCTATGGGCCATATCTTTGGCCACCTCATATCCAATGCCAGTGTTTGCACCGGTCACTATCACCACTTTCCCCACTAAATGTTTACTACATTTACAAATACCTAATGACAATCTAAAATACAATAGCACTGCTATATAACACAACACAATCAATGCTAAAATCAACATCTTGTTCAACACTAAAGTCTATGACTGTTATTAGCGTAAGAAATCAAACTTTTAAATGTTTGGTTTTACTTATATTTCTGTACATAGTTTGAACTTGTTATTATTATTTAAATGAGGAAACAATAGTTGGTAATAACATTCTCTTACTGTGTTATAAGTACACAGATAATGTTAGAAAATGAACAATTTATAAACGTTTGAAAAAATGAATTAAAAAAATACGGTCAAGTAAGAATCGGAGCGTAATGGCTGTGTCCCGTATGTATGTATATATTTTTTAAACAGGTTCAACAGTTTTATAAAATATCTATTTTTTTTTAATTTCAATCTAAATAACTGACTACTGAAATACAAGTTTTATTGATGTATAAACATCTATGTATAAAGTCTGATGCTTTGTTTATTTATTACATCATAACTTTTTATACACTTACATGTATTTATATTGTATTTTTGAATGATGAACTGTAGGAAAAAATATTTATTACAAAAACTTGACATTGATAATCGGTTAAAATGTCCTGCATGAATAAATGATTTTTCAATTTGAATTTGAACACCAACATAAATATTTACCCTTTTGCAGTTTACCATAAACTATTCGATGCATACAAGCTATATAAATATTTTCTTATAAAAATCAGGATTGCTTCTACAACTACTTTGTCTATAATTAAATTACATATATTATTAAATTATATTTTAAATATATAATTAAATTACTATATATATATATATATTAGAAAGTTCCAGAATAGTCCTATAGTATACAGATCATTATATGTATATAATATAAATCTTATATATAAAATTCTCGTGTCACAGTTTTCGTTCCCATACTCCTCCGAAACGGCTTGACCGATTCTCAAAAAATTTTGTGAGCGTATTGAGTAGGTCTGAGAATCGGCCAACATCTATTTTTCATCCCCCTAAATGTTAGGGGTAGTCCACCCCTAATTTTTTTTTTATTTTAAGGCAAAACAATTTTTGCCGGGACAGCTAGTTATTTATAAATATGCTACGGTACCCTATTTGGCACGTAACCTAACACATGCCGTCTTTTTTTCCTTTATAAATCCTTCCGTACCTAAAATGATGTTTCGTTTCTTTATAAATATTCATTAGTGTTAAAGTTTATTTCTAAACGTTGCATTTAATATAAGGCTCTTTTTACATTACGATACACGTTAGTTGCCGGTACTACATAATAGATATATAATCGCTAGTTATTCTTACTGTATTGTCTGTTTAATTCCGTGTTGAATTTTTTTTTTTATGGGATGATAATGGAATGATGCTCCTGCCTGCGCTTTACGCTGGCACGGCGGGGCATGATGTACACAGTGGAGGATGATAAGATAAGCATGATATCAGGTCAGTTCACACATCATAGTAAATTCACCGTGAATTTATCACGATGGTTTCCAGACGAACCACGTTGAGGTCAATTTATCCAACTATATCCAAGTTCTATTCATTTCCTGATGTTTCCTTTAGAGATAAAACTCGTGTCGCAATATGGAAGTAGATTCGATAACGCTCGGAGTTTGATTACTAGTGGGGAAGATTACAGTAACGTAACGCTTCCAATAGTGGTGGTCTTACACATGCTAATAATAGCGGAATTAAAGAAAATAATACAAAATAACACCTAATTGGATAAAACTTACATCTCTTTTTTTTAATTATCCTACAGCTTACTTCACAAACTTCAGTCTTCTTGTTACCTGGAATGGTGAGATATGCTAGCAAAATTACAGTAGGTTCGATGGCATACTACCTTATTACTCACGAATGTAAAGGAATGGCATATGCTTTGGCTGTAAGGTGAAAAAAAAAGCAGTGAATTAACAGGATTGGAGACTTGACGTCCTTTTCATGACTGACATGAATGGCAATGCATGATACTATCATGAGGGTTATATGATAACGTGATGTCTTTAGAGCTTATCATGTATATTGTAAACTGGAGGCTTTTGAAATGTGGTGTTGGAGGAGGATGGAAAGAATTAGCTAGAAGGATAAAGTAAGAAACGAAGAAGTACTACACAGGGTAAAAGAAAAAAGACAAATATTGAACACCATAGAAAATAGACGAAGAAAAATGTTAGGGCACTTGATACGGCACGATGATTTCATGAAAATTATTATTGAGGGGAAAATAGAAGGAAAGAGGGGGAGCCCAACACCAAGGAATAGCTACATCAAACAAATTGAGGACAAAATGGGAGTCGTGTCGTATCAAGAATTAAAGAGCATGATGAAAGATCGCGGAAAGTGGCAAGAGCTCCACCGACAAGAGCGTAGCTCTTAAATTATGAATGAATGAATGAAGTACTAAATTAGTTATTCACTACTCGACCATCAAGACCTAAGTGTCCTCTCTAATGTATTCTCTCACCGGTAGTCGCTATTGCCCCACCACCAATGTGAGATGGGGTGCCATAGACTAGCCATAGGCCTTATAAGATATTCATTCTAGAAAAGTAGTCTGGAATATATGGTGCTGCTATCTCCACAGCATAACTCAGTGGCGCCCTCTATCAACTTACGATAGTATCAATAACCCACATTTATTACATTAATATAGCAGTATTTATAGCAACTCATGACATGTATATAAGATGGTTACCACTTACCATTAGGCTGTAAGTTAGTTGGTGAATAATATTACATATAAAACTGTTGTGATAATTTGTCTTCAAGTTATCGCTAACGAGTATCCTAATGTACGAAACAACTAAGAGCCAATGTCACACAAGAAAAAATAAGGTCATTCTTACATTGGAAGTATTAATGTCTTTTAACAACAAAAAACATATTTATAAAGGTTTTGTATAATCAAATATGATCCGGGTTGACGTTATGAGTTTACGCGTCAGCATGACGACTAATGACTAATATAAAAACCGTATTTTTTTTTAACCAACTTTAAAAAAGTGGTTTATAATATAATGTTGATTTTGTTCGTTCAGTTTTACAATAAAATTTATTACTAAATACAAAATCTTACTAAGATCTATTTGGAATATAAAAGTTTTATTCATACACATGAAATATTGTTATATACCCACTTATGTTAATTTAAAATCGGTATCGTAGAATCGAGAAGAACTTTTGTTTTAAGAAGAATTATTTCTCTATAACAAATTGTACAGAATTGTTATTAGATTAATTTAGAATCTTAATATAGTCATATTTATGTAAAATTTGACTAAAGAAAACAATGTTATAAATATGTTGTGTCCATTTGTTATAATAGTAAAAATAATTCTAAGAAATTTAAACAGCGCCATCTAGTCCCAAATTAAACAGAGCTTGTGTGATGGGTAGACAACTAATAGAACTACTTAAATATACATGTAAATACAAAGAACAAGTAAATACAAATATACATAGAAAACATCCAGACCGATACAAACAATCATACTCATGAATGCAAATGTTTGTATAATATTATGTGAGGAAACGAATTCGCAACCATAGAATGTAAAGCGGTGTGCTAAACTGCTGGACCACCGCGGCCATCATGATATGAATATTAATAAATATTATAGTTATCTTTCTATCTTATTCTTTATTAATCTGAATATTTAGGATTTTTTTTTATTTATTAACTCTTTATTGCAAATGTGTAATACAAGAGGAACTAAGATAACAAAGAGGACTGCCTGTAGCACCTATTATAATCTCAGGACAATTCACACAGTGCCATCTAGACCCAAGTTAAGCTAGCTAAAGCTTGTGTTATGGGTACTAGATAACTGATACATATACATAGATTTTTTTTTGTAAATACGTACATACTATACATAGAAAACACCTAGACCGGTACAAACAATCATACTCATGAATACAAATGTTTGTGCCGTGCGAGGAATCGAACCCGCAACCATCGGTCGTAAAGCAGTGTGGTAACCGCTATACCACCGTGGTCGTCATAATATAGATTGTCACATAAATGGTGTTGTTCATGTATATAGGCATTTGTTACCATTTACCATCAGGTGGACTGTTAGTTTAATTGTCATACCAATCAATATTAATATTATAAACTAGAAAGATTTTGAGAATATGATGATAAGTCTGTTTGTTACTCTTTCATGCAATAACTGCTCAACGGATTTTGATGAAACTTTACCGTAATATAGTTTACACATCAGAATAACACATAGGCCATAAAAATCATACGGGCGAAGCCGCGGCCACACCTAGTTGTTAATAATTATGTTACACAGCACCCAGGTGCAGTATTTCCATACAATAATTATCTTAAGAAACATCCTATAATAATGATATTATAGGACTCATCTGTCCTTTACTTTAATACCTCGTTTATAAAATAATGGTTTTGTAATTACAGTTAAAATTTTTAATTTATCTATTATACTTTACTAGCTACTCAGCCCGGCTTCGCACAGGTGTACATGTACTACTTATATATACATATATACATATATATATGAACCGTCCTCTTGAATCACTCTATCTATTAAAAAAACCGCTTCAAAATCCGTTGCGTAGTTTTAAAGATTTAAGCTTACATAAGGACAGACAGCGACAGCGACTTTACTTTATACTATGTAATGATGATTACGATTGTGAGCCTCGTAGATTGTTGTTGGTGTTTTAAGACGTAATTTAATAATAATAATAAATTTAATATACATACTAAAATTATACACATAAAAGTATAATTTCCTTACGGTGACAAAACCAGGAGTTTATCACGATAATAAAACTCATATTAAAAATTCAAAATATCAAACGTATATGACACTAAATCAATATACGTTTATGTAAGGGTGTGTATATATATAGTATACATCATCATCATCATCATCATCGCAGCCCGGAAGATGTCCACTGCTGGACATAGGCCTCCCCCAAAGATCTCCACGACGATCGGTCCTGCGCTGCTCGCATCCAATGCCTTCCAGCGATCTTGACCAGATCGTCGGTCCACCTTGCTGGAGACCTTCCCACGCTGCGTCTTCCGG